CCCCAAAACCCCAAAACCCCAAAACCCCGCTAATAAACTAATAATATTTGTAAAATGAATGTTAAAACAATAAATTGAAAATGTAAGAAATTATACAAGTATCAATCATGTTTTACCTTATTTTAGGGGAATATGCTACAGTCGTGACAAGGAGATACTCTTACTAGGAGCTCCATATGAAGAAAACTTTGTCTTTAAGTCTTAGTGTAGAATTGGACTTCATGATGTTGACTATTATACTTTCCAAGGAGCAATTAAGAGATTTGGATATCGAGATAATCTCAATGATGAGCAGATGAAAACAATTAAGAAGGAGATTAGGCTAAATTACGAGGACATGCTAGATTAGAATCATTCACCACATGCTGTAGTGTACAAAGATGAGAACTTTTTCTTTATTGAAAAAAGACACACAGTTTATAACTTGTTGAAATTGGGCTTCTTAGTTTGCAGGTTTGAGAGCGTCGAGGATTAGGAATTAGAAATGTGGCATTTATTGAATCCCCTGCTTAATGAAACAGTTTCCAAGAGGACAGTAGAGCAATTTCTAAGAGATTTAATATACGTAGCTATCGACATGAATATTAGTAAGCTTTGAGGTTTTTAAGTCACAAATTCTAATAGATATATTGAAGAATGCTGAATAGCATGAGAATCCAGATATTCCTAAAGCTTTGGCCTATTTGGAAGAGTCATCAAAGAAGCGAGACATATTTATCAATCAGAGACTCAAAAGATTCAAGAATGAAAATATCGCAAGAGATGAATTAATGGAACATACTAGGGACTGTTTCTTCTAATCATATAGACTAAGATTAGCAATCAGCGGTTGTCAAGCAGGTTTTATAGATTATACGCCTTTAAACAGAGATAACTACCCAAATTTTAGACAGGAAAACCAAAACTGATGTATTAAAATTAGTTTATTATTTCTAATGTGAATTAGAGTTAATGAGTCCTGATGGGGTTTTGGGGTTTTGGGGTTTTGGGGAGTTATCTCTGTTTAAAGGCGTATAAT